CCCCCCGCCCCCCCACCTCCTAACCCTGCTGGGCAAATTTCTGAACCTCTCCGAGCTTCCATATCCTCCTCTGTAACATGGGGATGATAATAATTTCCCTAGAGGGCAGCAAGGATCAAATGTGGAAAGCCCTTGGCACATAATTCATGTTCTCCAAATGTTAGATTCCCCTTCCCCGAAAGACTGTATAGTTGTAGACAAGGATTGAAAACTTCAGATCCTGACACAGGTTAAAAATGATCTATTTCCCATTTAGAAAGAATGGCATGTGTCTTTGCAAAATGAGTGCAATTTTGCTTCTGATTGCAAGCAAATTGCATGAGGCTACTACCTCATACTGACAATTCTGTTAGCTTCTCCAGGAAAGAAAAGAAAAGAAAAGGGCTCTGTACGGTGGCATGTTTATTATATGTCAACAACTCAGACCTCAGTAGCTTCAGGGGAGATGAAACACAAATGCTGGAAGGGCTCAGGCGGACAAAGAAACAAGTGGGGAAAATTCCTATCTGATTTCATAAAGGGATTCTTTGAAATAAGATTAAAATAATAATAACAATATTTTTCGTGACACAGCAATCTTCAGAACAATCTTTCATCTTTATTTTAAAGCTGTGATGATGATTAAAAAAAAATTTTTTTTTGAGGGGCGGGTGTCTCGGGCAACTTTCACTTGCTAAGCTAAGGTTCAACGACCATCTAGAACAATGGTTCTCAACCTTCCTGATGCCATAACCCTTTCATACAGTTCCTCTTGTTGTGGTGACCCCCAACTATAACATTATTTTCGTTGCTACTTCATAACTGTACTTTTGCTACTGTTAGGAATTGGGTGACCCCTGTGAAAGGGTCATTTGACCCTCAAAAGGGTCGTGACCCACAGGTTGAGAACAACTGATCTAGAGCAGTACCTTCTCCATCCAGGCCCCTCTGCATCCTGCTGATGTCACGTGGGTGAGGGGACTGGGTTGGGAAGGGAGATGGGGCTTAGGAACATGTAGACGTTTCATTCGAACCTTGACCTTCTGCCAGCTGATGATGGAGCTAGCCTACGTAGGATGGAATGTTTCTCCCCACCATAGGCACAGAAATCAGGGGAAAGAACAATACCTAATTCATAAGAGAATGAAATAATGAAGCTGCCACATTTGATGCCGTCGCCTGTGTCTCGTGAGGCCAAGCTACCTCTTTAAAACCTATGATGTTTTTAAGATAATAAAAAATTTCTTTGGATTGCTGTGAACATGACTATCTCTGAAAGTGAAATCTTGCTCACCCCCTTCTTTCTCTACCTCTCAGATCCTCTGTCATGAATAACAGTCTCTCCTTCCTACCTTTCTCCTTTCCAGGGCCTGCCCTCAAGAAACCATACGACCCAAGAATCAAAATCTCCAAAACGTCAGGTAATGAAAAAGAGCTGTGCTTACATTGAGGGTAACAATTAATCGAAGGTGGCCAGCCAGGAATCCCCAGAAGCCAATTCATATACAACTCAGAGAACAGGACTTGAAGGCCTGGGTTTATTTTGCCCAAGCCAGCAGCTCAAGGTGAATGCCGAGAGCCAGGACCATCATCAAACCTTGTAGAAGTGCTGTAGAGATAGCGCAGTGCCGAGGAGGCCTGGCCATGGCCGGTGGAAGACGAGACCGGCAGCAGAACTTCATGTCACTCCTAAGTTCAAAAGTCTTGGCTTGAGAAAGCTGAAGTGTGCACACTCAACCAGCCTCTGCTGGTGCCAGCCAGGCAGGGTTGACAGGCAAGGGTTGGGTTTGTTTATTTGTTTGTTTTTAATCCTTGTCTTTAGAAAGGAAGATGAGACCAAGGAAAGATCATAAAATTTTCTCTTGCCAGATTCCTGGGATTGCAACAAAAATCCAGTTGGAATAACCACGCCAGGGCTGGGTTTTATGTTTTAAATGTGCACATCTTCCTTTGTAAGTGTTTGGTATTGCATTTCTGCCAGTATGCTCTGCCTGCAAGTTCAGAAAGCCAGTGTGCTAGAGATGAGCTATAGGGATAGGAACCCGGGCTCCAGTGGGCAGATATACTTTAGGCACACCCACGTCCTATAGCACCCCCAAAACTCCTCCCTCTTGGGTGGTGTAATGACCCCTTCCCTGTCTTGAAGCAAGCAGCATCTTTCCTTATAAAAGGATTTGGAAGACTTGGATAGCAATGTGGTGTGAGTCTAGGGGAACTCTCAGGGGACAGTCAGCAAAGCTCCACCTATCCTTCAACCGAGTGCCAAACATATGGACACAAACATTTGCCACCCCTGGGAATCATTTCCCACCTCTGCAAATGGCCAAGAGTGTGCATTTTTGTGTATGTTGCTTTTCACAGGATGCTCGTAGCCCTTCACAGTGAGATCAGCCACATTCTCTCAAGGGACCTCAGGGGTGAGGCTGGAGACAGGGCTTCTAGCAGCCACACCAAGCACATTCATTTACTGTTTGAAAAGACAAACCTCTCCCTACACCCTCCTCCCAGCCACATCCTACACATATGTATACACATAGATCCCCAAGTGGTGCAAGAAGTTTGTCCTCATCTGCTATCCTGATCCTTGTCAGTTTGAGCCCACCCAGTGGCACAGGGGCAGAAAGGCCTGGAAATCTGCTTCCATAAAAATTACCATCAAGAAGACCCCAAGGGAGCAGTTCTACTGAGTAACACGTAGGTCGCCATGAGCCGGAATCAACATGATCACAATGGGTTACACAGCCATACACAGCCATGATGACAATGGGTTACACAGCCATACCGAGTGGAGAAGCATCCAGAAACACGTAGCGTTTGGTGTATAAATCAGAGAGAAATGGAGTCACCAATGTAGTAAGAGAGGAGAATTGATTAGTCTCTTGGGAAGGATTTTGTAGAGTTCAAGGCAAGGCTCTTGATCTTGAATGGAAGTGAAATTGAGGACAGGGGCCAGCTGGAGTCGAAGGTCTTACCCGCTTATCCAATTCTGAGAAGTAGTCAGGATGGCCAAAAGGAAGGGCTCACGTCCTGATCACTGGCTCTACTACTGACCTCCGAAACCCTGAATCCCACCCCTTCCAACCTCCCTCCCATTAGGATAAAGATATAGGGATGCAAAGCATTTGTCACATGACATCGCTGATGTTCATCATGCTGTTCCACCTTCACCATCATCTCATCCCAGACTTTTCCATGAGTCTTGATAGAAGCCCAGCCCTCCTTACCCCACCCCACCCCGATCCTATGGGCTCTTTGCTTCCTGTGCTGGTCAGTACTGATGTGTGCTGCCATCAGTCCTGACTTGAGAGGCCCCGTGGGACAGACCAGGACTTCCCCAGTGCTTGTCCAAGGCTGTGGTCTTTGGGAGAACTGTGGGTCCCATACCTGCAGAGCAGCGGGGTGGGGGGTTCAAACAGCCGACTTTGAGCACGTCACGTGAGTTGGGGTGGGATGGGTTATTAGTTCACCTCTGTAAGGTGGGCATATGAGGAGTGCCGCGAATGTTTCTGGGAGAGTCCCTGGCTTCTTCTGAGGTAGATGGGTCACAGCGCTTGTCCTAAGAAAGGAAGGAAGGAGCCTTATTCTGATGGATCTAGACAATTGAAGGTAAAAGGAAGTGAGATGGAGGAATTCACATAAAACATTGAAGAATGCAGACTTAGTCAGCATTGAAGGTTATGACAAGAAGACCCTTTCATTTATTAAAGCTGTGGTCAATGTCTATATACGTCAATGTGGCGACAGGAAATTTGTATTTGATTTTAAAGGGACGATCTGATGGTGGTATATGATGGGTTATGAGTTGGGCTGCCTGCTAGCTGCAAGGTTGGCAGTTCAAACCCACCAGCTACTCCTTGTGGGAATGATGAGGCTTTCTGCTCCCATAAAGATTTACAGCCTCAGAAACCCACAAGGGCAGTTCTTCTCTGGCCTTCAGGGTCACTGTAAGTTCTAATCGATTCCATGGCAACAAGTGTAGTTTTGGATTTTGGAACATGGAACTATTTACCATGTACTCGCTAGGTGTCTGTGTAGTCACCACACATCCTAATAGCCTTCCTTTTTTTATAAACTAAAGATCCCATCTTTAGTTTGGTGTCAGGGTGAAGTAAGGATTGCATGAGAACATGTATGATGGCATGTCCAAGTGGAAAGCACCAGTAAATGCTTGTCTCTTGTTCTCTCCTTTTTTTCTGGCACCGGCAGCGGATGGAGACCCCCATTTTGTGGTGGATTTCCCCTCGAGCCAGCTCACGGTCTGCTTTAACATTGATGGACAACCGGGAGACATTCTAAGGCTAGTCTCTGATCACATGGGCTCTGGTAAGTTCTGTCCCCATATGGCATCTGGGCACAGGGCAAAGGCATGCACACACACACACCCCTCTGTTCTTAAGATGAATGTCCACTTGTATAAGGGGCGCCCCATCCTGCTCAATGATGGCCGTTGATGATTAAGCACAGGAAGCAGCTGTGTTCTGGGCTTGGCGTCAGAAAGAACATGCAGTGGAAGTTGTGTGACCTTTGGCACACAATCCAGATGCTTCAACGGTCTCCCTTGTCAAATGGAGTTCATGGTACTTGTCCTGCCAGACCCGCAGGACTCATGTCAAGCTCAAGCTACATGGTGGATAGGAAGTTGCTTTGTAAATACTCAAGCGTTATGCAAACGCACGACAAAATGTCGTGACTTTCTGTTTTGAAAAGTCCCAACCTTGTGAGAGGCTAGCGTTGTAAACTCAACTGTCTGCATTCCTGGATGACTTAGGTTTGGACCCCAGAAGCTCCTGGCACAGCTCTGTGTTCAGCGATCACGTGTGAAATGGGCTCAGGACCCTTAGTCTGTAGAGGGACTGGGTGAAAGAAGTTCAAGGATAAAAAGCTTTTCAAGTTCAGTGGCAAGGACAGTGTCCCCATGATGGCCACGAAGACAACCACACAGTCCCACCTGGTGAGGACCAGCTTTGGAGTGGACCTTTTGGCATTTCCTAGATCTGAGAAAATGGACTTGGTGGTGTGTTAGCGTCCAGAGGGTCCCACAGAGACACGTGTGATGTCATTATGTACTGTTTGGTTCCGAGATTTCTTTCCCACATTATTCTCTTTACTGGACAAGCCTGAGAACTAAATCTCTACTTGCTTCTAATTCCAAAGGGGTCAGGAGTGACGTAGAACCCTACCAGGAGCCTACCCCACTGGGGGATGATTGCATGGTTTCTTTATTCAGCTCCACGGGCCTGATGGGTGGCTCAATTGGAAGATATTTAGCCCTGTGAAGTTGAGGATCCTGGGCTCTGCCCAGCACAAGGTTTCTCCTCTTCCCCAGGGAAGGCAGTTTCCTTCTGGAAAAGCCTAAGAAATCACTAGGCAAGATTTAGCGGGAAGATTAACCCCAATGATGCCTGCCCCCCACCCCAGAAGAATTTATTTCAAAAGACAGCACTGAATCTG